AGAAAAAATGCCTGGTCATTTTAACTATTAACAAAAATAGTATAAATATAATAAATTATAATAGATATTAGTTTTTATTTTACATTCCAGTAAATAATGACAAAACAATTATAAATTGTTTTTCATACTAAAAGTAAGTAATAAACAACTACTAATACAGAATTGGTGATGGAGCAAAATGCTCTTTCAAACAACATTTCCGACCTTTCCAAGCATTTACCACGCCAATTTTCCTCGTCACTCCAGTCTCTCAAGTCGATTCTTTCCACCACTAAACCGCACACTGACAAAGTTCAAAAAGCTCTTCAAGTACTTTTACCACAAATAGCAGCGACTCAACCCCTCAAACCGGGTTTAGTCAGTTCACTCCTTCCAATCTTAGACCCACTCTTCCTCTCTTCAAAAACATTCAAAACATTTTTAAAAACATTTTTGGAGACCTTTGTCCCTAATAACACCCCCGTGTTACTCCTTTCAACCAAAATAGTGTTTCAGTCTTCTAAATTCCAACTGGACAACGTCTCCCATATTAAAGTACTCAGTTACCTCATCGACTCGGTCGTCATCTCTTCATTCTCACCTAATTTGTTATCACAATGCGACCCAAAAAGTGTACTCACAGACTACGTCAAAGCATTCATTAGGAATTATGGATCACAGACTAACTCTAACGTATCACCAGTCATATTCCCCCCATCACCGTCACCACTCATATCACCAGCGTTCGGTGTAACAATCACTCGACCAGTTCCATTAACTCTGTCAACCCACACCTTCATGAGAAATTGTAATACGCCAGGAGTCAGTAACACGTCCAGTTATGTGAAAAGAAGTCTCTCTTCGATGTCGCCAGAGGAGGATGCGAGCGATGAAAAAGAAAGTGTCCACCAATCGAAAGTGCAGGCTATTTTAACTCAACTGTTGGTCACTGCGACTACCCCGTGGGCAGATCTGAACAGTCAATTAGAAAAGGCGAAAAGAACGATATTGAAGCTTGACCAGAAGAGCTTAAAGACTGACATTACATGCAAAGAGGTTGCTATAGAAATGATTAATATAGTATTGTTCAATTGTAAACCAAATGCACTGACCACACACATCAAAGAAGCCCTAGTGAAGATGTTTAAAACGTCTGCGCTGTGCAATTTGAGAATTGCGGAGCTGTGTTCGGACATGCTCGGAATCCTTTTGACACGACACGGCTCGCATTTCAAAAATGAATGTCGGCAAATTGTGTATGGGATTGTAACGGAATTTTCGAACCAAAACAAATTGGCTGCAAGCGCACTTCTGAGGTTGACCCATTCGAGAGATACATTGAAGGCAATTTACTTGTTGTATGACAAAGACTCACTTGGGAGTGCCGTGTTCAGAACAATTGTCGCAACGTTTTCAGCGAATGTTGGAGTGTCCAGTTTGATATGCGAAGAAGGCTTGAAACGGTGTATCGAGACGTTTTCTAAAACAGTGGAGACCTACACACTTATAGAGGAGAGTAAACACCCCAATTACTATATTGGACCAATTAAAAAGGCTGTGGAATTGTGTCCATCGAGTAAACCGATTGTTATTGCAAACTATTTATTGAAGGACAAAACATTGGAAAGTACTGCGGTAGGGTTTTACTTGACGAATAATGAAGAGGTGTTATCCGAATACATCAAATTGAATGAGACGAGTAATGGGATTTATAAGACCATACTCGACATCTTGTCGCGATTCAAATTGCCAAATGACAGTTATTCATTTGACGTGTTTGTCAAAGTATTAACTGAGATATTCACTACGAATAACACAAAGATATCAAACACAAAAGGCGATGTGGGTGGTACTAACATCAGTACAAGTACGACTGAGAGCTTTATTCGATTGTCGTTACTGTTTTCTTTGGACCAATGCGATAGACCAGTGGTCGCTGATTTCAACGACTTTGTGAGGCGAGCGGATAACAACGGAATCGACCACATCGAGACTTTAATGCAACTGTACGACTCGATTGTGGAAGAGCCGTTCACGAAAATGACACTTCCCCAAATATCGGATGACGACGTCGATATGTTCCAAAGCTGTTTCAGTTCACTTTTGAGTGGGTTACAAGTACTTTACACTATTCAAGTTGATGTCTTCCAAGAGATGACGTCGTTACTTGTCTTTTCGATGTTTTCACACGCCACAAATGAACTTCAAACATTACTGGAAATTCTGTGTGAATGGTCACAGAATGGAGGCGTACCTAAATTTCAGAGAAGGAAGGCTGCACTTCTTGTGTTGCAGTTTGCATATACCTTTGGGGACTATTTGGAAGTGGTGTGGAGACTCCCACTCACCCTCTTTTGTCGAATGCTTGACGGGAATACAACGAACGTCCAGACTATACCAACACATTTCAGAACACTGCGGTATAATAAATACATTCAAACACATCCACATTATACTGCGAATACAAATACAGTGTTGAGTACTAATGTGGTCTGCGTCGAGTGCCCGAACGAAATTTTGTTACAAGAGATCTTTAAAGGGACTGGCCTCTCCCCGCGAGGGTTTGTCGAGTTTATTAAAAGGTACTGTGAGGTCATTCAAGACGAGTTGAACCACGAGCGACTACCACAAAAGACGATGAACTACATCATCGTTCTTTTAAATTGCAACAAACACAAACTCTTCTATGTGTATGACCAAATAGGTAGTTTCCTCTTTGAGATGTTCACTTCGTTTGCATTACAATACAACGGACAAGTCGCCAAAATAGCAGTGGAAGTGTTAAATTCGTATTTTTTGATATTGAACAGTCGAAA